AAAAAGAAAATCATAGTTTCTATTTTTACTCCAATCGTCCGCGTTCTCCCAACTTTTACAAGGCCTCAGATCATAGAAATAAGATCTATATATTTTTCTAATATCTATATATTTCTACGCTTTTAATTAATATAGACGAGCAGATTTGGACTTTTCAGTCAAACAAATTGCAAAAGTTTGTTTTATTGTTGATTCTTGTTTATTAGGTATTTCTTTGATGAACATATCCAAAATGGACACAAGTTTCAACCCATAAGTTACCTAATTTGCATATATTGAAAAATGGCCGTTATTTTCAGATTTGGTGGTCAATTATCTCTCAAACATTCATTTTCAGCCCAATAAGCGCTATTATAGGTGAATAGAAACATGCCAATGAATTTAAAATACAATATTTAAAAAGCCCAAATAACCTCTCTGAACAGCTAGGTTTAATATGTCAAAAGTATGTCAGATGACACATTTTTTAAACCAAAACAAGGAAAATGACAAGCATTTAATTAAGTATGAAACCCACGTTCAATTGCAAATAATTATATAAGCACACACTAGATATATTACATTAATCTTTTGGATACATACTGTGCATTAGTACTCAAACATATCCAAATGGTATGTTTGTACAAAGTCCGTCTTGACACTTTCCACAGACTTCATTGCAGAACATCCCGTTCTTCTTGCACGAAACATATCATTGTATCACAATACTCCTTATATTTGCCAACGTATTATCTTCAATAGCGCATCAGGAGCTGGCTTGTGTCTATTCTCTCGGCATCAAAACTTTCACATTGGATATTCCAACCCCAATCTTCCGGTTTTATTGTTACGTTTCCTATCCATATTTGAGTCTGTAGGAAAAACTCTATAAGAATGGTACTTGGAAGCATCTTCTGCGGTGCAACCTTTTGATGTCGACACTCTTGAGGCTCTTCACAAACTGTCACCAAACATCTTTCTACGTAGGACTATTCAAAGTGGTACCTTGTCTACCATACACACATACCAATGCTTTGGCCCCAGCATCTCTGATTTCATCATGGCTAGATAAACTTGACATGAAGCATTCACCTATCTGCATTAGTTCGTCCGATTTCTTAGCACGCAACCTTTGCCGATCCCATGGAGTCCAGATGTGGTATCGCACCTACATAGAGCATGCAGAAATGGTAGGTATGTGCATAGCCGGCTTCCTAAAATTGCACATGTCGTCTGGATGTTCCACAGTGGTCTCTTAATTGCACTCTTCTCTGACTTCATGAACAAGCTGGTACCGGTTTATGGTGGTGGCACAAGAGCACAAGGATGTCAGTATCCTCTGCAATGACAAATGTCGTCTTGTACACGGCCAGTTTCACGGCTGTCTAGACAAGCAACAGATCGGCGTCGTCTTCTGCATAAATGGTTTCGATGTCCTGTTTCCTCATCTTATCAGAAAGCATGTTGATGAACTCTTGTTTGTTTGATTGATCAGGAATATCTTCTTGTCTATCTTCAATGGTAAGTCAAGCGCTAGTTTTACTTTTGCTGACGATTGACCCGCTGCACATCGTTGGTGTGTCACTGTCTTGATTGTTTCCTGTGAGTAGCCATTATACACAACTATTGGGTGGGCATACTTTTGCACCACACGTATACATATGTGTTGATTATTTGTCTATACATATCGCCCTTTGACCATGGCAAACGCTGTAGAAGAGAACCACCATCTAGAACATTGCATTCTGCTTCTGGAATATTAATGTATTGTGTATCTCTGCAGAGTTTAGAAATAGCATCCGCAAGTTTTGGTTTTGTAGGAGTTTAGTAGGCCATGCTTTGTAAAGAGGGATGGTGGATAAAGCGAAGCTCGTATCTGAAAACCTTATTTAGATCGATATCAGTGTTATTGCTATGATCAGGAGTCTCTGAAAGAACGGCTGCGGATTGACAACCAATTCCTCTCCATCGGAAATCACCTTTGCTTCCATAACTTTGACTTGGTTCTTTTTCTTGAAGACATATTTTGTAACCGCTCGCCTCCATGCTGGTAATGATGGACTTGCCTATATCTCAGCCATGTGAGGGTTGGACACACTTGAGGCAATGCATGTTGATATGTCATACAAGTAATCGCTCTTTCGAACGGGTCATGGCTTTCAAGGTATTCAAGAATGATTGCCGTATCTGCCATATCTTGCTTCATTGCACTACTTGACTGAGTTCACTGGTCGTGTTCTTGTAGCTACTGAGCATTTCCATCTCGGTTGTTATATGTGCATAATCAGGCATCGTCAGCAGCCACCTTGTCCGTTGCGTCTCGTCCATCCCTCGTTCATGCGTGATTCCACCCTTGCTCTTTAGAGACTTCATTAAAACCTGCTCAATTATCAGATCTGTTGCCAAAGCACCCCAGAATCGATCGCTACGTCTGACAAACATATTTCCACCATAAACTCTTGAAAAACTAGGGTTTCTTTCCTCTAGGTTCAGCATGTCCTGCAGGAACAGATGACGACGACTTAGCATAACTGTTGTGCCCACTTGCTGCGAAGTATGGTAGCATTTTCTTCAGTGACTTCAGGTGAAGCATGAAGTTGCCAGTGCGTTGGCCTTTAGGTTAGATCTCAGAAGACCAATTGTTCTGTTCAATAACTTCCCTGTTGGTGTTGCAGATATGTCAAGCTTCGCTTTCTGGAAAAGCTGATCGAGTGCTTGGATATCATCATCATTTGTTGCAGATACATCGCCGAAAACCTCGTCAAACATCTGCAGAGCATGGGCCACTACCTGTTCGTTGGCTTCTTCTGTTGATATCTTCTTCAAACGGACTGCGTTAAGAGCGCCATCCACCAAAAAGTGGCCCCTGACTGCTCTTGCATACGCCTTCCGCTGATCATATGTGTGGACTGGTTACCGCAAAAGGCTAGCTCGAGCAAGGTTGAGAGACACTCGACTTCATGAAATGGCCAATGCTTCCGAGAAACGAATCAGTGTATGGAAGGCTCCAAATATAAAGGATGACATTGCTCAGCTCTTCTTCTTGGCTGATGATCAGTTTGGCCTTCATCCAGAGGGCTGGTGCAAACGTTACTATCGGCTGGATGTTGTACTTCATACTTGATGTTCACAAACGTTAGTGTTAATCTAGCTATTATCATTATTGTCATTGTTAATATTATTTTTGTTTTGTTTGGATTATTTCGCCGTGTGACACAATCTGTTTGTGATGGCCAAGAATTTTGATGTCCAAAATCGAATGCTTACATTATCTCAATATTACAAGTGTGTGTAAGTAACATAACAAAGGTGACTAAGTGAATCGAGCGCTAACTTTGTTTCCCACATATATACCCTACACACGTACGTAATAATTACAGCTTTACACAACACTGTAGTAAACAATAACGCAGGTAATATGTTTGTATTCTTCCACAACCAACCGTGGCAGCATTTATTCGTTATTATACATCAGCTTATACTCCTATACAGAGGCCTGCCCAACTGTGGTGAGATGGCGCTGAGCTGTGTGGTGCTTCGATGACTCTATAGGCGCCTAACTACGTTAGAAAGCTTATGGCGATTCCCCATCCGACCGTTGTCATTAGCGTCCATTTGTAAGTCTCCCATACTCAACTACCCCTACCCTTAGCAAACCATAGGCCGCCTACAGTCTTATATACACATACAAGTCTTTAAATACAGAATAATCCGCTTATAACTTATAACGTTATATATATATATATATATATATATATATATATATATATATATATATACATCTAAAAAGATACGAACCTTTCACATAATATATGTAAATAAGCATACTTTCATATATAATAGATACGTCTATGTTTAGTTCGCATAGTCATCATATCAATAAACATTTTAAAAACTTGATAAGAATTGTTTTTGTTAATCTCAAAATTTCCAAGTCAATGAAATCGACACGCGCTGAAATTTCTCATGTCACGAACGGGCGCCTCCTTATTCGTTAACCAGAGAATAATCCACGCAGTTCTTCTTGGCGGCGTTCGTTAGTAGCGGCCCTAACGGTGTGGAACCGTCGCCTGCAAAATGATGATGCGAAATTCAGTAAGCGTTTCTGTGAGTTCAATGAAAATGTGAGTGTTGGCAATGCAGGCTATATAACACGGATTAAAATTTAAAATAAGTAGTATGATTTAATTACTTACGAACACCAATATAATTATGAAACTTTACTGATTTTTACTTGATGCGAGTTATTCTCAGTCAATGCAGCACACGCGCTTTCTTTAATCAGCGTAACAAACGGCCAACACTAGTAGTTACGGTTGTCTCTAAATAGTCAAAATGCACGGACCCTCACGTGGATTCATGTGTATTGCGAGCGCATTGGTGCAGGAGCTATAACATTGTACTAACTAGCTCTCCAGTTTATGGCAGTCTTACTGATTAGAATTTGAAGATAGCGATGTCGGACCACAATATCGTGGATGTTTATCTGACGCGCTTAACACCGCTGGCAACACTTACATCGCCGACTGAGCCAGGAGCGACGGTAACCGCTAGTTATTTTCCACTTCAATGATGACGGACGCCACGTGTATCGCTTGCCCCACGTCCACTTGATCTTGGGCTGTAAAAGCAATAGTCGCTGTCAATTCTATAACCGGCACGTTTATACGCGTAATCTGATATAAGGCTAGTAAGTTTTAGTTGGCAAATGGAATGACGCGACTTCCGGTATGCACGTATTGATTGATGCCGACGAGGTTTGCAGATCGTTTTTGATAAAATTGGCAAAAACTACTGTAACATGGACGTATGTTATAGTCTTTTAAAGCATTGGTTATAGTAATGGAAGCCACAGGACTACCTACAATGTGACACGAGCAAACGTTGTTTTTGGAGAGGTATTCGTTAGCGTATATATACTCCTGCGAGGGAAAAAATTGTGTACGTACAGGCCAGAATTGAACCTTGACCTTTGAGCGGAACTGGTACCACGCCTCAATACTGATGCTCATGGGATCGTAGCCATAGTAACCAGCGATGCATGGAACGCTCTCAGTGACCGTCTCTACGTAGAAGTTTAGGTTGATTCCAATTGTGAGCCCACCACGGACAAGTTTCTGCAAAGAAGATTAATAAAGAAGCGTTACACTAACGAATGCTATCGTAGTATTTATATATCAACAACAATAATAAAATCGTAGGATAAATCACTATTACTCGTAATATATACGTACAGCGAGAGACGCCTGGGCGGAGGCGCCAACCCTCAGAATCGCCTTCGGCTGCACCTTGGTGATGACCGTATTGCTAGACGACGTGCAGATGAAGTTCATCTCAAATCGCGGACGGATCTGCGCGCCGACGTCGATGCTTGCCACCCAGATGTTGATCTTGTAGATCGGGATGTAGAAGTTGTGCTCGTAGGCCCACGTGCGGGTCGTGCACGACGTGCTCTTGCTGTCGAGCAGCGACTTGCCGGCGATGACCATGTAGTTGCGCTGTGTGATCGAGCCGGACGAGCTCTTGATGCGGTAGCTGAGTATCGTGCCGACGTCGAACGTCTTGCTGAACAGCTGCGCTCTGCCGACGAGCTTCGTGAACAGCTTGTAGCGACCGTTTGACGAGTGTCGGCCGGCGAACATACCGCCGTACATCTTCGCGTTTGCCTTCGACACGCCGATGTACTTGTAGGCGAGGCAGTGCCGGCGGCGGTTGTGCGACGACTTGTCGCTGTTGAACTGCGAGCTCGACTGGATGATGTTGTAGTAGGTCGAGTGGCCCCAGTCGCTGCAGGACGAGTGAGTCCAGGCGCGCTTTCGACGACGGTGACCGCCGTCGTCGGCCATCGTCGTGTTGCTTTCAGACTCGTCTTCGTCGTCGTCGAGCTCATAGGTCTCCTCGACAAGGAAGAACTTCTGGAATTCCTGTCGAATGAAAGATTGGGGGCGTTTAATTACATGAGAGAGTACGTCGGCGACGGGCGATGCCTTGATGTAGTAGGGTTGGACGGTCGTAGGCGGGCAAAACATGGTTGTTTGCCTTCAAAACTGCACGGGCTTGCGTACTTCGCGCAGAGATGAAGTATTTCCTAGGCTGCCACCATGCCGCGCGTGAATCCTATTGAGCTTCCACGAAATTCGTTGAAATTACATCGTTTTGATTTGAATTTACAGTCGCATTGAATAAATTCACTGGAATTTTACTATGATTAAATGATCACGACATTTCTCAAGCTTTCGGTATTAGATATCACACACATCTCGAGTAGCGGGCCGCGACGTACCTCTACGACAGCCTTGGCCTCATCGTTCTGCTTCATGCTCATGTAACGATACATTTCGTCGGTGATGCAGGGCGTGAGTGCCTGTGCGCGTGGCGTGGCGCGCGCGCGCGCGCGCGTGTGGTGTGTGTGTGTGTGGTGTGTGTGTGTGTGCTGTGTGAGTGAGTGCGTGAGTATGTGCGCTTGCGTGCGTGCGCTTGTGTGTGCGCGATTGTATGTAGCATTAAATAAAATGTTATGGCTTACCTTATGATGTCTGTCGCAGAGGAAGGTATCTGTAGCTCGGCACCGTGGTAGTGAGCGTGTACTGCTATGCAGCTTGACGCGCGTACCTTATATATCATCACCCTCCCTATAAAATCAATGTTACACGATTTTACACGCGAGATCGGTACTGGAAAACAAAAAACAGGTGGCGTTTACAGATAGAGCCATTCCAATCTGCTTGACATCACGCTCGCGTGCTTTTTTCGCGATAGATCAAAATAGTAAATGTAAGTTGCCACGTGGCAAGGCGGAACTAAAAATGTGTAATACACCTGTATATATTTACAGAATTACACATTTACATATTTACATATTACCCTAGGTGCTCGACGCTAATTATGTTAGATATTGGATCAAGCGGCCTAAGCTGCCACTACGCACTACAAGGTGTGGGTCCATCGAAACTCTCTCTGTCACGCTTCGCTGCGGCAGGCAAAAATTTACGTCATACTAGCAGATTAGGGAAGATCATAGTTTCTATTTTTACTCCAATCGTCCGCTTCTCCCAACTTTTACAAGGCCTAGATCATAGAAATAAGATCTATATATTTTTCTAATATCTATATATTTCTACGCTTTAGATTAATATTAGACGAGCAGATTTGGACTTTTCAGTCAAACAAATTGCAAAAGTTTGTTTTATTGTTGATTCTTGTTTATTAGGTATTTCTTGACTGACATATCCAAAATGGACACAAGTTTCAACCCATAAGTTACCTAATTTGCATATTTAAAATGGCCGTTATTTTCAGATTTGGTGGTCAATTATCTCTCAAACTATTCATTTTCAGCCCAATAACGCTATTATAGGTGAATAGAAACCATGGCCAATGAATTAAAATACATATTTAAAAGCCCAAATAACCTCTCTGAACAGCTAGGTTTAATATGTCAAAAGTATGTCAGATGACACATTTTTTAAACCAAAACAAGGAAAATGACAAGCATTTAATTAAGTATGAAACCCACGTCTCAATTGCAAATAATTATATAAGCACACACTGATATATTACATTAATCTTTTGGATACATACTGTGCATTAGTACTCAAACATATCCAAATGGTATGTTTGTACAAAGTCCGTCTTGACACTTTCCACAGACTTCATTGCAGAACATCCCGTTCTTCTTGCCACGAAACATATCATTGTATTCACAATACTCCTTATATTTGCAACGTATTATCTTCAATAGCGCATCAGGAGCTGGCTTGTGTGTCTATTCTCTCGGCATCAAAACTTTCACATTGCGATATTCCAACCCATATCTTCCGGTTTTATTGTTACGTTTCCTATCCATATTGAGTCTGTAGGAAAAACTCTATAAGAATGGTACTTGGAAGCATCTTCTGTCGGTGCAACCTTTTGATGTCGACACTCTTGAGGCTCTTCACAAACTTGTCACCAAACATCTTCTACGTAGGACTATTCAAAGTGGTACCTTGTCTACCATACACACATACCAATTTCTTTGCCCAGCATCTCTGATTTCATCATGGCTAGATAAACTTGACATGAAGCATTCACCATCTGCATTAGTTCGTCGATTTCTTAGCACGCAACCTTTGCCGATCCCATGGAGTCCAGATGTGGTATCGCACCTACATAGAGCATGCAGAAATGGTAGGTATGTGCATAGCGGCTTCCTAAAATTGCACATGTCGTCTGGATGTTCCACAGTGGTCTCTTAATTGCACTCTTCTCTGACTTCATGAACAAGCTGGGTACCTGGTTTATGGTGGTGGCCACAAGAGCACAAGGATGTCAGTATCCCTGGCAATGACAAATGTCGTCTTGTACACGGCCATGTTCACGCCTGTCTAGACAAGCAACAGATCGGCGTCGTCTTCTGCATAAATGGTTTCGATGTCCTGTTTCCTCATCTTATCAGAAAGCATGTTGATGAACTCTTGTTTGTTTGATTGCATCAGGATAATCTTCTTGGTCTATCTTTCAATGGTAAGTCAAGCGGCTAGTTTTACTTTTGCTGACGATTGACCGCGTGCACATCGTTGGTGTGTCACTGTCTTGATTGTTTCCTGTGAGTAGCCATTATACACAACTATTGGGTGGCATACTTTTGCACCACACGTATACATATGTGTTGATATTTGTCTATTACATATCGCCCTTTGACCATGGCAAACGCTGTAGAAGAGAACCACCATCTAGAAGCATTGCATTCTGCTTCTGGAATATTAATGTATTGTGTATCTCTGCAGAGTTTAGAAATAGCATCCGCAAGTTTGGTTTTGTGGAGCGTTTAGTAGGCCATGCTTTGTAAAGAGGGATGGTGGATAAAGCGACAGCTCGTATCTGAAAACCTTATTTAGATCGATATCAGTGTTATTTGCTTATGATCAGGAGTCTCTGAAAGAACGGCTGCGGATGACAACCAATTCCTCTCCATCGGAAATCACCTTTGCTCCATAACTTTGACTTGGTTCTTTTTCTTGAAGACATATTGTAACCTGCTCGCCTTCCATGCTGGTAATGATGGACTTGCCTATATCTTCAGCCATGTGAGGGTTGGACACACTTGAGGCAATGCATGTTGATATGTCATACAAGTAATCGCTCTTTCGAACGGGTCATGGCTTTCAAGGTATTCAAGAATGATTGCCGTATCTGCCATATCTTGCTTCATTGCACTTTGGACTGAGTTCACTGGTCGTGTCTTGTAGCTACTGAGCATTTCCATCTCGGTTGTTATATGTGCATAATCAGGCATCGTCAGCAGCCACCTTGTCCGTTGCGTCTCGTCCATCCCTCGTTCATGCGTGATTCCACCCTTGCTCTTTAGAGACTTCATTAAAACCTGCTCAATTATCAGATCTGTTGCCAAAGCCCCCAGAATCGATCGCTACGTCGACAAACATATTTCCACCATAAACTCTTGAAAACACTAGGGTTTCTTTCCTCTAGGTTCAGCATGTCCTGCAGGAACAGATGGACGGACTTAGCATAACTGTTGTGCCCACTTGCTGCGAAGTATGGTAGCATTTTCTTCAGTGACTTCAGGTGAAGCATGAAGTTCCAGTGCGTTGAGCCTTTAGGTTAGATCTCAGAAGACCAATTGTTCTGTTCAATAACTTCCCTGTTGGTGTTGCAGATATGTCAAGCTTCGCTTTCTGGAAAAGCTGATCGAGTGCTTGGATATCATCACATTTGTTGCAGATACATCGCCGAAAACCTCGTCAAACATCTGCAGAGCATGGGCCACTACCTGTTCGTTGGCTTCTTCTGTTGATATCTTCTTCAAACGGACTGCGTTAAGAGCGCCATCCACCAAAAAGTGGCCCCTGACTGCTCTTGCATACGCCTTCCCGCTGATCATATGTGTGACTGTGTTACCGCGCAAAGGCTAGCTCGAGCAAGGTTGAGAGACACTCGACTTCATGAAATGGCCAATGCTTCCGAGAAACGAATCTACTGTGATTATGGAGGCTCACATATAAGCATGACATTGCTCAGCTCTTCTTCTTGGCTGATGATCAGTTTAGCCTTCATCATCAGAGGGGCCTGGTCAAACGTTACTATCGGCTGGATGTTGTACTTCATACATTGATTGTTCACAAACGTTAGTGTTAATCTAGCTATTATCATTATTGTCATTGTTAATATTATTTTTGTTTTGTTTGGATTATTTCGCCGTGTGACACAATCTGTTTGTGATGGCCAAGAATTTTGATGTCCAAAATCGAATGCTTACATTATCTCAATATTACAAGTGTGTGTAAGTAACATAACAAAGGTGACTAAGTGAATCGAGCGCTAACTTTGTTTCCACATATATACCCTACACACGTACGTAATAATTACAGCTTTACACAACACTGTAGTAAACAATAACGCAGGTAATATGTTGTATTCTTCCACAACCAACCGTGGCAGCATTTATTCGTTATTATACATCAGCTTATACTCCTATACAGAGGCCTGCCCAACTGTGGTGAGATGGCTGCTTGAGCTGTGTGGTGCTTCGATGACTCTATAGGCGCCTAACTACGTTAGGATAAGCTTATGGGCCGATTTCACCATCCGACCCTTGTTCATTAGCGTCCCATTTGTAAGTCTCCCCATACCTCAACTACCCCTCACCCTTAGCAAACCATAGGCCGCCACAGTCTTATATACACATACAAGTCTTTAAATACTGAATAATCCGCTTAACTTATAACTCTATATATATATATATATATTATATATATATATATATATATATATATATACATCAAAGATACGAACCTTTCACATAATATATGTAAATAAGCATACTTTCATATATATAAAGATACGTCTATGTTTAGTTCGCATGTCATCATATCAATAAACATTTTAAAAACTGATAAGAATTGTTTTTGTTAATCTCAAAATATTCCAAGTCAATGAAATCGACACGCGCTGAAATTTCTCATGTCACGAACGGGCGCCTCCTTATTCGTTAACCAGAGAATAATCCACGCAGTTCTGCTTGGCGCCGTTCGTAAGTAGCGGCCCTAACGGTGTGGAACCGTCGCCTGCAAAATGATGATGCGAAATTCAGTAAGCGTTTCTGTGAGTTCAATGAAAATGTGAGTGTTAGCAATGCAGGCTATTATAACACGTGATATGTGTGTGTGTGTGTGTGTGTGTGTGTGTGTGTGTGTGTGTGTGTGTGTGGCTTTGCGATGTACTTTTACATAATATACAGTAATGTCTTTTTATTCGTTTTTAAATATAATTTTAATAAAAAAGACAATTTAATGCTAAAATTAAAGCGCTGTTAACAATTTTAATGCAGAATACAGAGCCATTTCAGTTATGGTAACGTTATCGTTAGCGC